TTTAGTGTCTAGTCATTGTGTTTTGTTGATTGATGTGTGTGCTTGTAAATAGGTTCAATGAGGTAAGTGTGTTGATAGGTGAAAGCATGTTAGTGTGTTTAATTTACGCTTATGTACTCAGCTTTGCTGATTGTGTGTGTGTTTGTGTGTTTGGCCATGTCTTTACCTTGGCCCTATGATGACCCATTTTTAATGGAGAGTAGTGGAAACAAGTAGAGATAAACTTTTCAGGTATTGAAGCATAATCATGATGGGGCATGAGAGAAGAGTGAATCTTGCTAGCTTTCATTAGATTACGATGTGTTTTATGCTTTATTTATGACATATTTTATGTGGACTAACACAAAGGTTTGGTTTTGGAACGGTTTTGAATAATGGTCTTTAATGGTTCCAAGTTGTAGTTTGATTTTATTTGACTTTGTTTGTTTGGTTTTAAACTTTACTTTCGTTTGGTTGACTTTTGAGTTGACTTGTTTAAACGGTTTTTAATTTTCAGTCTTCCGCTGTGTATCTTTGATAATTGCCTTAGCCGTTTTCACGGTGGCGGTAATGTCTTAGATATTCCTAAATCGTATTTTAAAGAGTAGAATGGGTATTTAAAGGAAAGGAATTTCTAGGGTGTTATACTAGTTTCTGACAAATAGATGTTTACTGAGCTTGTAAAAAGGATACGGAATCAACATTATGTTTTCTTTGTTAGCATACCCTCTCGGATTCCCGTAATGGGAATTGTGTATTTCCATATCTTCGATAACCTGTCCTGCATCTTCCACATTAAGATTCATGAATCTCCCACAAGCTGTAGAATCTAGAAATGATCCAGATGAATTTCCAAATCCATTGTAAAAGGCTTGGATCAATTGCCATTGTGCCAGATTATGGTGGGGGCATTCTCTTTGTAGATCCTTGAACCTCTCCCAAGCCTCATATAGAGTTTCATCGGCCTCTTGGGCGAAGTTCTGAATAGCACTCCTTAGTACAGTTGTTCTCTCTACAGGGTAATATTTATTATAAAAATTCAAGGCAAGAGTTTCCCAGTCAGTAATACCAAGTGCAGTTCTATTCAAACCATTAAACCATAATTTAGCTTTTCCACATAATGAAAAGGGAAAAAGAATCTCCCTGATTTGGTCCTGCGTGACCCCGGCTTGTCTAATGGTGTTTCAATACTGGCAGAAATATGCAATGTGAAGATTAGGATCTTCACCCTTAGCTCCACTGAATTGCTTCCTCTCTATCATGGTGATAAATTGGGGTTTGATTTCAAATTGCACTCCATCAAGGGCCGAAGTGGGAGTAAGGTGTGGAAAATCTGTGAGCTTTGGCTGCGAATAATCAATGAGCTTCTTTGGTACCGCCATCTCTGATTCTGGATCTAAAGGAATTTCTGAGTCACTAGAATTAGTTGGAGGGTCTCTTCGATTATTGCCTTCCTTAGAACCAGCCAGGATTTGTCTATAAAGATTCTTTTGCCAACGGAACGAGCGCTCGTTCTCAAGATCGAATGGAATGTAACCTGATCTGGAACACCTGGGCATAAACAAAGAACTAAAAGACAAATACGAGAATTGCCACAAAGAACTAACGTTCTCTGAGACATGAGGGGATAATCTAGACTAAAAAAATAATTAGAAAATAAAAAATAAAACCGTATCCCCGGCAACGGCGCCAAAATTTGACAGGCTCAAGTCGTACTCACCCAATCAAAAATAATACCTAAATCCACTAACTATGTAGATAGGGAAGAAGGGTCGAACCACGGGGAAACAAGTCAATTTATTTCTAATTAATTAAAAGCAAAAAAAATAATCAAGTAATCAAATTATTATTATAAGGGTAACTAAACTACTAAAAGTAAGAGTAGGAAGGAATAAAAATAAGAGGGAATTCAATGAAATAAAAGCCTACGGTATAGGTTCACCAATAAACAATATTCCAGAGTAAGACATAATAATCAATCATCAATGCATCAATTAATCAGATCATAAAAGGCTTTCGCTACGTATTACAATAACAGATTTAATTTACCGGTATTAAATCTCATCTCTCGAATCTCGACTTAACCATTTATAAATCAGTCCGCCTATTGAAACTAAGCCTAAACATCAATTCTCATCTCTCGAATCTCAAATCAATATTGCTAAAATCATACAATAAAACCAGGACTAAGCTAATTGCATATCATTAAATCAATCAAAAGGAAAATAATTAATCATAGACAATCAACAATCATAAATTACCCCTTCATATTATTTATTAGATCCCCATAAACCCTAGAAATAAAAATACTCACTCATAATTAAATCTAAACTAAATAAAGCAATTAAATAAGCCATAAGAGAATAAAGAAATAAAATTGCTGAAATTAATAGAGAAGAAATCGTTACAAAAATCAATGGAACTACAAAGTTGAGTCAAGAACAAGAGTTGAGAAAATTCTAGAGATAGAAAATAATCTAAGTAGAGAGAGAAAGTCTAAGAAAGAAGGTAAATAAAAATTAATCACTAAAATCATACTTAAACAACTCTAAAACAATCCTAATTAGAAACTAAGAATTCGGCAAATCAGGTCTCTCGGAAACACGCGCCCGATCGGGCAAAGGGCCGCCCGATCGGACCCGCCTTTTTCTTCGTATCTTTTTTGGGCATCTGCGCCCGATTGAGCTAACTCTTACCCGATCGGGCGCGCCTTGCTCGATGCACCTGACTGCGAGCCCGCCCGAACTGGCGTAAGCTTGCCCGATCAGGCCCGGTTACTTCTTCGAGGCTTGGACTTGGATTGGACTTGATTCTTCGGCCCAATCCGGATTTCCTCTTCAGGTCTTGAATACTTGGTCCAAATACCCCGGTATCATATATACCGAGCCCTTAATCACCGGATCTAACCGGTCATAGGCTTCAAAGATGGTCGTGCTCCTCTAGAGTTCGTAGTTGCTCCATGAAAACCCGGGAAAACACTCCAAAAGTGCAATTACCTACAAAACTCAAGCAAAACTACAAAAACACTAGAAAACACCAATTAGTAATAAAAGTGGCTCTAAAGAGCCAAAAATACTACTAATTATGACCAAGGGAAAGGGGTAAAATACTATATAAACTAGACACATCAATGCTTATGCCAAAAATGTTAATCAAAATTACGCACATGAAATACTTTCAACTTTTCAAGTCTCATCCACTCATTCTAAATTATTGCCAAAATTAATTTTAGGAATTAAAATAGAAATCCTCCCCAGTGGAGTCACCAAAAAAACTGTAGGGAATATTTGGTACGACTGTCGCGTGTCTACCAAATATTAACCTAACTAAAACCTCCTAAAATGTAGTAGGGTAAGCTAGGGTCGATCCCACAGAGAATTGGATTATCAAATTATTACTTGTGTAAGTTAGAAACCCCTGTTTTGAAGAAACAATGATATGATCTAATAAATAAACTACTAACTAGATAACAAATAAAGCACGGAGAAGTAAACTAATAAAAATTAAAATACGATAAAATCAAAAATAATGAAATAGGGAATCGGGAGATGTATTATAGCATTGGAGTATCAATTATTGCTCATCGAATTATACGAATTACATTTATATCTTAATGTTAACCAAGGAACACAAACAAGCATTCAAAACTTCCCTTAATTGCATATATACCAAACGAGCTCTCGGAATATTGTCTAACTAACTAATAATCTAGAACAAGCTCTCTAGACTCGATTAATTAGCCGCATTAATAACAAGGAAGTAGTTAACTTAAGCCACGAGTCTCACAAGCTCGGACTTGTGCAACTCAAAGGGTTGATAATCTTAGATATCGGACAAGTTTCAGTCACCTATCAAATACCTAAGTGCTACTAAGGAATACTAACCCGAACAATTACGTATCACACGGTAGTACTCTAGCAATTAAACTAACAAATTATACTAAAGATGGCCGGTCTCAAACATAATCAACTAGTTTGTAATTCAAGCGGATTATCAAACCAATTAAGAATATAAACATAATACCCAAGGACTACAACATATCAATTCTCACAATCCAATAATCCAATGCATAATTGATCTCCCTACCCCTCTAATAATTTAGCCTAACATAACAAATATTGAGGTTATCATACTAGAACATATAGAATTCATAGTTAAACTAGTTAACAAAGCAAAATAGAAATAGACTACTAGAAATTATATTAAGCAATCAAAGTATAATTCCCAGGAGTAACTGACGCATTCAAGAACAAATTAAGGAAGCACTAACTTTATTATTTCCATTTTCTAAACAAAACTTCTACTACTAATCCAAAGTAAAAACAAGCAGCTGACAATTGAATGTAAACAAAATATATAAAATACCAAAAGCTTCCAGTAGATGATCAGAGTAACCATGCACAGAACCAAGCCACCTCTGTTCACTCGTCTACCACCTCTGTTCACTGTTGGATCTCGCAACTCTCCGCCGAAATTCAGATTATATTCCCTCAAGTGCAACTCAAAGGGTTGATAATCTTAGATATCGGACAAGTTTCAGTCACCTATCAAATACCTAAGTGCTACTAAGGAATACTAACCCGGACAATTACGTATCACACGGTAGTACTCTAGCAATTAAACTAACAAATTATACTAAAGATGGCCGGTCTCAAACATAATCAACTAGTTCGTAATTCAAGCGGATTATCAAACCAATTAAGAAAAGGACTCGTGCTCATATACTGGAGCAAGCTCGTCATATTCCGTTACCTCACAGTGAAAGTTCATCTTCGGACGAGGAGGGTGAATATATTTTTGAGATGGGTGATCAAACACTAAAGCAGCTTGCAGCTCCAACGTTTGATCCAAATTTATTGTGCATAGTAGACGATGAGGCAAAAATTGAGATCAAGCCGGGGTTGATTAGAGCTCTTCCCACATTTTCAGGTTTCTGTAATACTAACTCCTTGGGTTCAGTTCACATGAATGAGGCTAGCAGATTTTTGAAGGAATTGCACATAGCATGTGCGGGGATGAAACCGGCTGGTGTCACCCTCGAACAGCTCAAGTTAAAGGCATTTCCTTTTGCCTTGTCTGATGCTGCCAAGGAGTGGTTATTTGAAGTACCTGCTGGAACCATCACAACATGGGATCAAATGCTATAATTTTGGCGCCGTTGCCGGGGAATTGGCGTTTTATTTTATTATTTCTTGTGTTTTTCTAACCGTTCTTACTAACTTGTCACCTAGTTCCTTGTTCTTGTATGTGTGACAGAAATTTGAAACATCAAAGATTGAGAAATTTTGCGGCAAGGAACCAGGGACTTATAATTCATCCTTTTTCTACTCTTCCTGTAGCTAAAAGGACTCGTGCTCATATACTAGAGCAAGCTCGTCATATTTCGTTACCTCACAGTGAAAGTTCATCTTCGGACGAAGAGGGTGAATATATTTTTGAGATGGGTGATCAAACACTAAAGCAGCTTGCAGCTCCAACGTTTGATCCAAATTTATTGTGCATAGTAGACGATGAGGCAGAAATTGAGATCAAGCCGGGGTTGATTAGAGCTCTTCCCACATTTTCAGGTTTCCGTAATACTAACTCCTTAGGTTCAGTTCACATGAATGAGGCTAGCAGATTTTTGAAGGAATTTCACATAGCATGTGCAGGGATGAAACCGGCTGGTGTCACCCTCGAACAGCTCAAGTTAAAGGAATTTCCTTTTGCCTTATCTGATGCTGCCAAGGAGTGGTTATTTGAAGTACCTGCTGGAACCATCACAACATGGGATCAAATGCTAAAAGTATTCGCAGAAAGATATTTTCCAGCATCTTCAGGAAAGAAATATGTGGAATTCGAAAAGACGATGCAGAGACACTTCATGAGTACTGGGAGCGTTTCAAGAAACTATGTGATAGTTGTCCAAACCATCAAATCAGTGAGCAATTATTAATACAGTACTTTTACGAAGGACTCAAAGAGACAGACAGGAATCTAGTTGATGCAGCAAGTGGTGGAGCACTGGTTGACAAAACACCCGCCGAGGCAAAGAAACTGATTGCAAACATGGCTGCAAACTCTCAGTATCGAGGAGGTCGAAATATCAAGTCCACCTCAGTACGTCAAGTTAATGAAGTGGTGAGTTCTAACCTCGAGCAACAAGTAGCTAAACTCACTTCCTTAGTGGAGCGAGTAATGATCGAAAAAGGGCAAGAAAAAGTATGTGGCCTTTGTTCAATGGTAGGACACCCAACTGATATGTGTCCTACTCTGCAAGAAGAAGAAATGAATTCGATTGGTGGTGGTCAGGGGCAGCAAAGACGTTATGATCCATTCTCTCAGACTTATAATCCGGGGTGGAGAGATCATCCAAACCTGAGATATGGTAATGCTCAGCAGAAGGCAGGAAACTCTAACCTCAGACCACCAGCTTTCCAGCAACAGCAAGCTTCTAATCCTCCACCTGGGTTTCATCAGCAACCACAATATCAGCCGCGACCTCAAAATCAACAAGTTTCCCAGCCACAATCTGGTAGCATGTCTCTGGAAGATATTGTGAAGGCAATGGCTGACAACACTTTGCATTTCCAGCAAGAGACAAGAAGTGGTCTAAAGAACTTGGAGAACCAAGTTTCTTAGTTAGCTAACACAGTGGGAAAGCTCCAAGCTCAGAACTCTAATAAGCTTTCGAGTCAACCAGAGAGAAATCCAAAGGAGAACGCGAGTGCAATCTCCCTGAGAAGTGGCAAGCAATTAGAGGTTCCAACGAAAAAGACTGAAGAGTTGGCAGCACACCAAGAGGAACAAAGGACTATTGTTCCAGAGCAAGATAAGCAGCCCACTAAGGTAAGAGATGGTGTTTCTCCTAATACTGATCAGTTTAATTCTTCTGTTCCATTTCCTAGCAGGTTATCATCTAAGAATAAGAAGAGAGAGCAAGAAAAGGAGAAAGAGACCCTGGACATTTTTCGCAAGGTTGAGGTAAACATACCTTTACTGGAAGCTATAAGACAAGTGTCGCGGTATGCAAAGTTTTTGAAGGAGTTATGTACTAACAAGAGGAGATTGAGTGGAGATGAAAAAGTCAGTGTAAGTGAGAATGTGTCTGTTGTTTTACAGAGGAAAGTTCCTCCAAAGTACAAGGATCCAGGTATTTTCACTATACCATGTAAAATAGGTAACACGAGATACGATAAATGCATGCTAGATTTAGGAGCTTCTATTAATGTCATGCCTTTATATATCTATAAAGCTCTGAACTTAGGACCTTTGAAAGACACTCGAGTGATTATTCAGCTTGCTGACCGTTCTAATACATACCATGTAGGAGTAGTTGAGGATGTTTTAGTGCAAGTGAATGAACTGGTATTTCCTGCTGATTTTTATGTTTTAGATATGCCAAATGATGAATCCCCTAGTGCAGCACCTATCTTATTAGGAAGACCTTTTCTGAAAACATCTAGAACTAAAATTGATGTTCACAGTGGGGTGTTGACCATGGAATTCGATGGGGAGGTTATTCGGTTTAATTTATTTGATGCCATGAGATATCCCTCTGATTGTGAATCTGTTTCTAGTATATATGTCATTGATGCACTAACTGAGCAGGTATTCTTTCTCTCTGGTCATGATGGGTTAGATGTTGTTTTGACTGCGCCTATGGAAAAAGAAAAGTATACTGACTTGCAGGAACATTTTGAGCTTAAGGGGGAAGTTAAGGAAGCTTTTTCCTCTCTAGAAATACTTCCTGATAAGCAATTAAGGTATGACAAACGGTTTATGCAGTTACCTGTCACTTCTAACAGATTGTTACCTTCAATTGTACAGGCCCCTGAAGTAGAACTAAAGCCACTGCCAAACCATCTCAAGTATGCATTTTTGGGAGAAAATGACACTTTGCCAGTCATAATGGCGAGTAATCTAACTCCGAATCAAGAGCAAAAGCTGGTGCAAGTTCTGAAGGAACATAAAACAGCTCTAGGGTGGACAGTTGCTGATATAAAAGGAATTAGCCCCTCTATGTGTCAGCACAGAATCTTATTAGAAGAGGGAGCTAAACCCGTGAGCCAAGTGCAGCGACGACTTAATCCACCTATGATGGAAGTGGTGAAGAAAGAAGTAATGAAGCTTCTTGAATTAGGGGTGATATACCCTATATCCGATAGCCCTTGGGTCAGTCCCTTGCAAGTGGTCCCAAAAAAGTCAGGAGTCACAGTGGTGGAAAACGATAAGGGAGAAATGGTTCCCACCCGAGTACAAAATGGGTGGAGAGTTTGTGTAGATTACAGAAAACTCAATTCTTTGACTCGAAAAGATCATTTTCCCTTACCATTTATTGATCAAATGGTAGAACGTCTTGCTGGTCATGCTTATTACTGTTTTCTTGACGGTTTTTCAGGTTATGTGCAGGTTCCTATAGCTCCGGAGGATCAAGAAAAAACGACGTTCACATGCCCGTACGGCACGTTTGCGTATCGTTGTATGCCATTTGGACTGTGCAATGCTCCAGCGACTTTTCAGAGATGTATGGTAAGCATCTTTTCAGATTACCTTGAAAATTTCATAGAAGTTTTCATGGATGATTTCACTGTACATGGAGATTCTTTTGATAGATGCTTAGAACACCTCACTTTGGTCCTTAAACGTTGTCTTGAAACTAACCTTGTGCTTAATTCTGAAAAATGTCATTTCATGGTTCAACAAGGTATAGTTTTAGGCCATATTGTGTCGTTTGAAGGAATAAAAGTTGATAAAGCTAAAATAGATCTTATTTCTTCTCTGCCTTACCCCGCCTCTATGCGGGAAGTTCGATCTTTTCTTGGCCATGCAGGGTTCTATCGCAGGTTTATTGAAGGATTCTCGAAGATTGCGCAACCACTATGCAGACTACTCCAAAAAGATGTGGAGTTCCATTTTGATGAGGCCTGTAAGCAGACATTTGACAAGCTGAAAGACAAGTTGGTCACTGCCCCTGTTCTACAACCTCCTAACTGGGAGCTCCCATTCGAGTTGATGTGCGACGCTTCTAATTATGCTGTAGGAGCAGTGCTAGGTCAGCGAGTTAGAAAAGTTCCCCTTGCCATCTACTATGCCTCAAGGACTTTGTATGCAGCTCAAGCTAATTATACTACAACTGAGAAAGAACTTTTAGCTGTAGTTTATGCTTTAGACAAATTCAGGTCTTATTTATTGGGTACTAAAATTATTGTGTTTACTGATCATGCAGCGCTGAAATATTTATGGTCAAAGGATGTATCCAAACCTAGGCTAATACGTTGGATTTTATTGCTTCAACAATTTAATGTTGAAATAAAAGATAAAAAAGGTTCTGACAATAGTGTTGCTAATCACTTGAGCAGGTTAGTTATTGAAGCTGATGAAGATCACGCCCCAACCAATGAAGAGTTCCCCGATGAGCAACTTCATGCCTTGAACTCAGGAACTCCGTGGTATGCTGATTTGGTGAATTTTCTAGCATCTGGGAAGTTTCCAGCCAGCTACACCAAGGCACAAAAGGACCAGATGCGTAGTATAGAAAAATACTACATATGGGATGACCCATACCTCTGGAAATACTGTGTTGATCAACTAGTCAGAAGGTGCGTACCCGATTCTGAAATTCTGTCTATACTAACTTTCTGCCATTCTTATGCATGTGGGGGACATTTTGGACCAAAGAGAACCGCACGCAAGGTTTTAGAGAGTGGATTCTACTGGCCATCCATATTTAAAGATGCATATGAAATCTGTAAGGCATGTGATAGTTGTCAAAGAACAGGTACACTAGGTCCTAGGAATGAAATGCCCCAAACTCCTATCTTAATATGTGAAATCTTCGACGTTTGGGGTATGGATTTTATGGGTCCCTTCCCCTCTTCTTTCGGTTTTCAATATATTTTGCTTGCTGTCAATTATGTCTCGAAATGGATGGAAGCTATAGCCACCTGTACTGATGATTCTAAAGTTGTTGCAGAATTTTTGAAATCAAATATTTTTGCTAGATTCGGATTCCCGAGAGCCATCATCACTGACAAGGGGACACACTTTTGCAATAAGACAATAGGAGCTCTCTTGAAGAAGTATAATGTGTTTCATCGAGTGTCCACTGCATATCACCCACAAACAAATGGACAGGCAGAAGTCTCCAATCGAGAAATCAAGTCCATTCTAGAGAAGACTGTGAATCCAAACAGGAAAGATTGGAGTCTCCGCCTCAACGATGCTCTGTGGGCGTACAGAACAGCGTATAAAACTCCGATCGGGATGTCTCCTTACAGGCTTGTGTTTGGTAAACCTTGCCATCTGCCAGTAGAATTGGAACACAAAGCCTTTTGGGCCGTGAAACAATGCAATATGGAAATGGATGCAGCGGGGGAGCACAAGAAACTTCAATTGCAAGAACTTGAGGAAATCCGAAATGATGCTTTCGAGAATGTGAGAATTTACAATGAGAAGACCAAGGCATTCCATGATGAGCGCATAACACGAAAGACATTTACAGTGGGGCAGAAAGTTCTCTTGTACCATTCTCGGCTCAAACTATTTCCTGGTAAACTCCGTTCTCGATGGGTGGGACCATTTGTTGTCACAAAGGTGTATGAGCATGGTGCAGGGGAGATTCGCAGTGAAGATACGGGGAAGGAATTCAAGGTGAACGGCCATCGACTCAAGCCGTACTATGAGGGTCATCAGGTCCAAAACGTTGAAGTGATGGAGCTAGAAGTTCCAAATTATGACAACTAGCATGCTGAAAAGGCGTCGAGCTAAATAAAGTGCTATTGGGAGGCAGCCCAAATTTATTTTGTTTGTTTTTGTCATTTTATTTTTAAGTTTATATTTCTGTTTTCTTTCTTAAAAAAAATTAAAATAAAATAAAAAAAAAATAAAAAAAAAAGTGAAAAACTCTATGCTTTAGAGCAAGGAGAAATGTTCTTGAGCTGCCTCTTTTCTTCACTCAGCTAAGTAGGAAGATATTTTCATTCAAGGCCCAAATGTAAAATCCTACACAATAAAACAATATTGGGCTTGAAATATTTGAGAGTCAACTGGCTTGTAAATTTTGCTTCTCTTAATCAAAGTGGCGTAGAATGCAATTTGATGCCGATATTTTCTTTCCTACAAACAAATAAATAAAATAGTAGTAAATCATGTATAGGATAGAAAATTACTTATTATACTCTTAAATTATCAAATGCCAATATAAAATCAAGAGTTTAATATATAAAAATAATATACTTTTATGGTCCTATCAATATTTCAAGCATACCACACTAGAGCCCCATTGTGATCATACAGTTAAGCATGGTAGCGTCCAAAGGGAAGGAAGCTAGAGTAAAATGAGTCGCCAACAAGTTTTAGGAACTTGTAAACCGTTCACAGGGTGAAGGTTACACCCCTTAACAATCCGGGAGATCGTTAACTCCAATAGGTCTGGAACCATGACTGGAAGTTTAGGGATGAAGGTACAAATTGATGGGTGTCCTAAATGGAACCCATTTGATGAGTATTTAGGTTGTTTCCACCTTCTTTTCATGGCTTTCATACTTAATAAATGCTTAGTTTTATGATTTTGCTCTTGGTTTTACCTTTTCTCTCTCATTTTGTAGCTTTTGTGCATTTTTATGGTTTTTCTAGTATTTTCTCCTTTATTTTCTCTATTTTTGTGGTTGTAGGTATTGTA